CGCAAGAGCTTTGTCGATCTGCTTAGTTACTGTTCTGAATTTGATTCTAATTAAGGAGGTAATATAAGGGTAAATCCACTAACGAGACAAAAATTAGGATAATTAATGGGACATAGACGTTGGTCTCTTGGGTAACATAAATTTCTAGTGACATTAGAATTTCTTGCTTATAATATTATGATTCTAGGCGTTATTAAAGTCTTGTTGTAAATCCCTTAAGGTCAAGTACCAGCGACGTCAATTTCTGTGTTAATCGTTTTACGCAAGTGCATTCACTTCTCCTGTCATTATGTATTATAAATATATGTTTCGCTTACTCACTTCATCATTCGCGTATTGCATCCATGAGAACCTAGCCATCTAATAATATACATATCAGACACAACATTATTTGACCTTCCTTACCGCTAACCTATCTTAGCCTAATGCACACTTCACTCATCAAAACTCATAATAAATTCCCTATTTTAGTTTCAAATCTAAATATCCCTTATCAACAAATGAACCCCATGTAAACCCCGACATGATAACTCGTAAAGTCTGACTTTTGTCCCATTGGGCGTGCCAATTGTTGGAACCGAAAAATAAATTTTCGCAAGGCTCCAACTTAAAGTTTTTCGAAAGGGCTCCTAGCCTCTTCTGAATACAATGGGCCCAAAGATCAAGCGTTGTGAGTCCCAACAACACTTCAAAGAGCCCGCCCATCATCGGATTAGGGGGCAGCTCCAACGGTGGAGCGTGCACGGCTTTGAGCCTAAATGATTAATTTGATGAATTTTATCTAAAATCCACTAAAAATTGGATAATAACATGATTGAAACTTAATCAACATAAAATTATGCTGGAATTGATAAAAGACAAAAGAAATGAAGACATAATTGGATTAACTTAAAGCCTACGGATAAACTACTAGGAAGATTAAGGATAAAATATGTTGGATAAGGTGGTTGTTCTTGTCGTGTCTTTTTTGTGTGTTTTGGTTGTGTTTAAATCCTAACAAACGTCCACTTCCTGTAATCTAGGAAGGTGGTTGATACTCAACTGGATAGCCTGCTTTGGGCCCTACTGTTGATCGGCTCCGTGGCCTGGGGCCTTGGCTCTGGCTTCGTCTTCGAGCATCCTCTCCTGAAGTCTCATCTTCTGGAGCCACTTCCCTTAAGCCTGATCCTTTGGAGCCCCATCACATGCTTTGGGCCATGTTGCTGAGCAGCTCTGTGGCCTAGGGCTCCGGCTTTAGCTCCACATTCACCTTCGAAACTCTTCTTCTGGAGCCTTACTTTCTAGAGCCGCTTCCCTTGAAATCAGATCCTCTGGAACCTCATCATTTGGAGCCTTACTGTCTGGCGAGTAGGGGATTCTGGCGGATTATGAGGCTTTGGTTTGTTTTAAAGCAGCTCGGTGGATTTAGAGGCTTTGCCTTCATGGAGCTCTGGTCTTCTGCAGGTCCTGAAGCCTCTTTTGATTTCTGCTTCTGGCCAAACTTCTAGTTAATTCTCTTTCGTTCAGGTGCTTTTGGATTCAGGTCCAACAAAAAAATAAAAAATTTTAAATGTAGATAATAATATTTTTTTATTGGAGAATAAAAAGATAAAAATAAAGAAATTTTGAATAGATCTTACGTATATGGGGTTAATAATTTGATTAAATTGATTTATATTTATTAAATATATTAATAATAGATAAATTTATTAAAAATAGAAAACAATCATTTATTATGGGACAACCAAAAAAATAATCAATTTGTAGTGGGATGGTGAAAATAAAATATATTCTTTCCCACTATCAAATGTATGTTAACGGGTGTGGAAGAATTATTTGTTATACATTATCATATTTTGTAAAAAAAAAAAAAAAAAAAACATAAATTTGATGAACAAAAAAGAAAAAATAATTTTATATATGGTGTTTGGGATTTGAAAAGGAAATGTAGGGTTTGTTTGTTAGTATTTTTGTTTGAGATATATTTTTTATGTGAGATATAGATAATTGTGTAACTAATATAAAAAAATAATATTATATATTGAATGTTGATTTTTTGTGAGATGATAAAATATAATACATAATATATATTGAAAATCGTGTCAGAAAAATGATTGAAAGAACAAACTCGTAATTTTTAAGAAAGAGTATCAGTTAAATAATGAGATATGTTGTACTTCCCCCCGTCCCATACAAGGTGATACATTTTATTTTCGGCACGCAAATTTAGGTGAATAGTATTAAAGATTAATTTGAAAATTAAGTGATGTGATAGGAGAAAATTATGTATCAATTTATTTATTTATTTTATTTAGATGATGTGATAGGATAAAATGTAATGTATATGTATTAGAGAGTTAATTGTTTCTTATTTTGAAAATGAAAAACATGTGTGATATTCAAAAAGAAAAATATTGTAGGGTATATGAGAAAAAGAGAGTAGTATATTAAGAAATAACATAGTGTGTTCTTTTTGTGAAAACTCCACTAGTTTTTTCATATAGATTAATATATTGCAAATATTCATTATTTTTATATTATTTACACAATTTTTTTTTTTATTTTACATAAGAAAAATTCCTTCAACTATTTTACAAAACAAACACACAATATTTTATGGTTAGTAAAAGTGTAATATGATTTTGATATTTTTGTTCTTTATACTTTATGTATATAGTAAAACTGATATTTTAATATTAGTGTATAATTATTTTTATTAGAATAAAAACAATACTTTTAATTGAAAATGAAGAGAGTAAAAATTTAAATAGGTCTTATATAATGAAATGTTTAGAAAACATAAAAAACAAAAACATAATATCTACTCAAATTGATATGATAATCAAGTAGATGCTAAACTACTCTATTATTGTCTCCAATGCGTGTTTAGAATAGAAGTGTAAAACAAACAAACAACTCTGTTTGAGCTTATTGAACTTCTTTCGTGAACATTAGATAATATTAATTAATTAATAAATTTTATATTTAATAAATATATATATATATCTTTATAAATACTATAGTAAATTCTAATTATTTTTTATATATATAAGTTTGTTAATAAAAAGTTATAATTATTATTAATTAAATTAAGTTTGAAATAAAATTAAATAAATTAAATAAAAAACTTTTCTAACTATCCGAGTAAAATTGAACATAAAAAAAATAAATTTCAAACAAAAATTTTAATTTATTTTTAAACAAACGAACACAAATCAAATTCGAGTTCTTAATGAACCAAATTCAAACATAAAAAAAAAAAAAAAAAAAAAAAAATTAAGTCAATTCGAGTTGTTTCCACTCTAGTTTAAAAGTGTTGAATAAAAGAGTAAATTACACACTCAACTCAACTCACACTCAGGGGATCAAATCATCGATTCCAAAACTTTTGTATTTCCTCTATTTCAACAAATCAAATCATGACATTTGAAAAAAAAGAGAATATCAGTAAAATAATTTACAATTTATGTAGCATCTTTTAATTATATTTCTATTATTTATTTTATTTTATTTATTTTTTAAAAATAAAAATAAAATCATATTAAAATTTATTTTTTATTCAATTATTTTTATTTCAATTTTTATTATATTATTTTGATTTAAAAATATATTATTTTTTTCAAATATTATACTCATGATACTGAATTTGTTAGTTTTATATTTTTTGGGTGGTATCATTCCTATAAATATTATAAAAAATATAATATATACATTTTATCAATTCACAAAAAATAAAAATTAAATACAAAATATTATTTTTTTATATTCCCGACATTATCATTCATATCTAATATTAAAAACACGTTCATCCGATATAAATAACACAATAAAAATAAAAATACTTTAAATAATAAAAATTAAATTAAGATATATTTTTTTTATAAAATATTAGGTACAAATTAAAATAAAAAATTAAATCTAAATAACAAACTTTAAAAATATCATATAATCTATTTAATGTAATTATTGCAAAATTTATAAAATAACATAATAAAGAATTGAAAAATATAACATGAATAAAATTAAATTTGAATATAATTTTTATTTTTAAAAAAATTGATTTTATAATAAAAATTAGGGTAAATTGCACAAAATTCACATGTGATTTTACAAAATTGCATGAAACTCCTCATTTTTTTAAAACTACGCTAAACTCCCTCGTGGTTTCATAAATTTTACGTCAAATTCCCTCGGTCGTTGTTATTTAACGGTGTTTGACTTGTACACACTCAAATTGCGAATGAATTTCATATTACTGATTTTTAAACTTCTAAAATTATAAATATATTTAGCTCAAAATAACATTAATTTTTTTTTTTTATAAAAACCAGAGAAAAACAACTACTTCAGAGTATATTTTACTATTTTTTGAAATTAAATAATAAGAATGATGAATGTATTTGTAATTTCAAAGGTTTAGAAATGAAAATTCTAAAACTTATACGCGTGCATGTCAAATATCATTAAATAAAGAAGGCCAGAGTTAGACGTAAAATTTACGAAACTATGAGTAAGCTTGACGCAGTTTTCAAAATATAGGAGATTTTGCACAATTTTATAAAATTACACATAAATTTTGTGTAATCTAACCTAAAAATTATTGTTATATAAAAATATCAAATGATAATTTTATTCATATTATCTATATATATATATATATTTACGTTTGACAAAATCATATATTTTTACGATAAAATAATATAATAAAGATTTAAATAAAATAAATTTGAATATAATTTTTTTTTTTAATTTTTTTTTTTAAAAATAATAAGTAATAGAAATATAATAAATTATAAATTTAATTTTGTTTCTATTCCAAATATCATAATTTAATTTGGTAATATAGAGAAAATTTGTAAAATTGGAATAAAAGATTCGATACCCACACTCCCACTCACTCAGGAGTAAACAGAACTGCCGACAAGTATGCCTATAAACAAATATCTCCCCATATCCGAACCGTTCATTTCATTCTAAATCTGGACCGTTGGTTCATTTACCCTTTTAAAATTCAATCCCCTCTTCTCTCACCGACTGCTCGCTCGCTCCTTTCTTCTTCTCCAGTGCGGCGGCGGTTCCAGATCCATCACATCCACTGCACATCTCCCATGGCGCTAATCGTGGAGAAGTCCGCATCGGGGCGCGAGTACAAGGTGAAGGACATGTCCCAGGCGGACTTCGGGCGGCTGGAGATCGAGCTCGCGGAGGTGGAGATGCCGGGACTGATGTCGTGCCGGGCCGAGTTCGGGCCCTCCCAGCCCTTCAAGGGCGCCAGGATCACCGGAAGTCTCCACATGACTATCCAGACCGCCGTCCTCATCGAAACCCTAACCGCCCTCGGCGCCGAGGTCAGATGGTGCTCCTGCAACATCTTCTCCACCCAGGACCATGCCGCCGCCGCCATCGCCCGCGACAGCGCCGCCGTCTTCGCCTGGAAGGGGGAGACCCTGCAGGAGTACTGGTGGTGCACCGAGCGCGCCCTCGACTGGGGCCCCGACGGCGGCCCCGATTTAATCGTCGACGACGGCGGCGACGCCACTTTACTCATCCACGAGGGCGTCAAGGCCGAGGAGGAGTACCAGAAGTCCGGGAAGGTCCCGGACCCGAGCTCCACCGATAATGCCGAGTTTCAGATCGTGCTGACCATTATCAGGGACGGGCTGAAGGCCGATCCCAAAAGGTACACCAAAATGAAGGAGAGGCTGGTCGGCGTCTCGGAGGAGACCACCACCGGCGTTAAGAGGCTCTACCAGATGCAGGCCAACGGATCTCTGCTCTTCCCCGCCATTAACGTCAACGATTCCGTCACCAAGAGCAAGGTATTTATGAATCTTGGATATATCATCCATTTCATTTCTTGTGTTTATTTCAGATTTCTCTTGTCTTTCCCTTTATCAATCCAATTCGATCCGATAGTGTTTATGCCAATTGAATCTCACTTATTAAATTATAGAGAAATCAAAATACAAAGTAGATTTACATTGAAGAAGAATTCAATTGATAAATAGAATCGATTATGTTTGTAAAATAGAGAAAATGTATGTAATACTATAAAAGTTAAGAATTCCTTGTGTTGTCATGGCATGGAGTAAGTGCCCTTAATTATCACTGTTCTGGCTAGCCCAGAACATTGTGATGTGAGTCTCCATGTTAGCCCAGGCCCCCAAAACACACCTATCTTAGCCCCTAAACCTTTGAACTCGGTCATTCTTTCTCTTCCTCTTCCTCTGTTCTCTCTTCTCTGATCTCTTTGGCTTCATTCCGTCAGTGTTTTTATCCACTTGACTTTAAGTATTTTTAAACTTCTAATCTAATTGCTCCAACCCCACCACCTCCCCTTTACTAGTGCTATTTTTTTATTTATCCTATTATAGTATTAGTATATTATTATTTATTGTATAGTTATTTATTACTAGAAATTCGATAATTTTATACCTATAAGATATAATATATATATATATATGTAAATTTTTATGCATATTAGTGTTCACCATTTTGTTGCCACGACGGTATGGAGGGTAGTGACAACCTTGCCAGTGAATTATATATATATTGATCAGGAGGGATCAATCAATCTGATGAAAAATGAAGTTTGTTTAGTTATTAATATTTCATTTCATTTTAGTTTTGATTTTTGGTTTGAATAGAAATTTGGATTTGATTATTTCTGATATAAAACTGAAACGGAACATTGAAATGTGATGTATCTATTCATTTTTTATTGAAAGTCAAGTATTTATTTTATAGTGAAACAATCACACTAATATCAAATATATTTTAACTTTTAGACAAATGTATATATCATTATACATATAATTAATTTATACAATTATCAAATCAAAAGAATGTCACAATTATTTACCAATTGAACCACCTTGCATTTTTTAATATGCATTTCTCTTTTTCACTATGCATAAAAAAATTATTTATTTCTCATTTTATGATTTTTTTTGGCTAAACATATTTCTATTTTCCTATCTTCATTTTTCCTGTGTAGCAAACACACTTTTGGATATGATCTGAATCAGATGTGACCACCTGTAAATGTTATATTACAATCTTTTAGATATGATCTAAATCAGATGTGACCACCTGTAAATGTTATCTTATTGTAATGGCAGTTTGATAATTTGTATGGTTGCCGACACTCACTCCCCGACGGCCTGATGAGGGCCACCGATGTGATGATCGCTGGCAAGGTCGGTGTCGTTTGCGGCTACGGAGATGTCGGGAAGGGCTGTGCCGCAGCATTGAAGCAAGCTGGTGCCCGTGTGATCATCACTGAAATCGATCCAATTTGTGCCCTCCAGGCCCTCATGGAAGGCCTGGAAGTCCTGACCCTGGAGGACGTCGTCTCCTCCGCTGACATCTTCGTCACCACCACCGGAAACAAGGACATCATCATGGTCGACCACATGAGGAAGATGAAGAACAATGCTATTGTCTGCAACATCGGTCACTTCGACAATGAGATCGATATGCAAGGGCTTGAGAACTACCCGGGCGTCAAGAGGATCACAATCAAGCCGCAGACGGACAGGTGGGTGTTCCCAGAGACGAAGACAGGGATCATCGTGCTGGCGGAGGGACGGCTGATGAACTTGGGGTGCGCGACGGGACATCCTAGTTTCGTGATGTCGTGCTCGTTCACGAACCAGGTGATCGCCCAGCTGGAGCTGTGGAACGAGAGGAAGAGCGGCAAGTATGAGAAGAAGGTGTACGTACTGCCCAAGCACCTGGACGAGAAGGTTGCGGCGCTCCACCTGGGCAAGCTCGGGGCGAAGCTGACGAAGCTGTCCAAGGACCAGGCGGATTACATCAGCGTGCCGGTGGAGGGGCCGTACAAGCCAGCCCACTACAGGTACTAAGTAAGTGCGGAACGAAACAAGAACAACAGATAGACACTTTGATCAATGCTCTGCTCTGCTCTACTTAGTATTATTATTATTATTATCATTTTGTTTTCTTGGATTTGCTGTGATTTGTGTTTTGTTTTGTTGGGTTGATTTTATTTCTATAACAAGGATTGATCCAAGTGTGGAAACATAGGGGCATGTATTATTTGATTGTTTCGGCATTATTTTTATCTTCTTATCTTTATGTTTATGTTGAATGAAATGAATTATGTTATTGGCCTCACCTCAATTAAGGCAGGCAGGTAGGTATATAGTTTTGGTCGGAATAGGATGAGATGGAGTGATTTGCTTTGCTTGTAATTTTCTTTCTTCAAGTAGAGAGAGTGTGTGTCGTATGTATGTAGTGTATGTGTGCAATGTCAACAACCTACTAACTACCCAATCACTTGCTACTCACTCGAGAGTGTAGTGTTGTTGACAAAGTGCTTGAGGGTTTTTATCTAAAATAAAGTCCTCTAGTTTTAAGATTATTTTTATTTGAATTGTTCAAAGGCAATTTTGTTACCACTTCCACTTCCGCTATTTTAGTCAACCAGATATTCTTTTTAAGATAGTGTGAATTTGCAGTTATTTAAGATGAAAAATCAACTAGTAAAATTAAAAGTAAATTTTGAGTTCAATTTGTTATTATTAGAATAAAGATGGTAATTCTATTATCATGGTATTAGATCACCAACAGTCTTGGAATAGCTAGCTTGTTTCTAGTGGGTATGAGTGAGACCATCCACAATACACATATTTTAACAACCGTTTTTTTACAATTTTTTTTTCCTGTGTTACACATTACTTAAGAACATATAAAGAACCTATTCAGGTCTTTCCTCACATTTTTATGATAAACAAACATAAGGCGATCAATTTCTCATTGGTGATTATGGATGATTACTTTGTTATACACTATTTTATTATTAATCTGGTTTACTTTTATTAGGCAGTTGGCATAAATAGTTAATTGATAACATTCTTTTATTTAAACATTCTTCAATGTACTCATATGGCAGATTATTCATTCAATATACATAATACATAGTTTCATATTTTTCTTTGGAAGTCTGTTACTTTTCTGCCTCTACTTGGGAGCCTGCTACTTTTTTGCCTTTGTTTTTTCATGGTATCAGAGCAGCAAAGATCCTACCATGGCAAATACTGATACATCCAGCAACACTCCTACAAGGATGCATCCAGAAGCAACAAATACTCTTACTCAAATTGCAGCTGAAGCTTATATGCTAAGAATGCCTTTGTTACACAACACATTTTACCGAAAGCTCTGCAGCTCACAAGTGGTGATCAACCTCACTTAACATTGTCATTAACACACCTAACAACCAATAATTACTTCACATGGAGTCATTGTGTTTGGAATGCCTTAATGGCTAAAAGGAAAAGTGGCTTCCTTACTGGTAAAAAGGTAAAACCTGATCCTTCTTTTCCGCATTTTGATACTTGGATAGAGGTGGATTCACTTATCAAAGGATGGATTATTAACTCTATATCACTTGATATACAAGGAGCATTCATTTTTATTTCAACAACCAAGGATCTATTGACAAGTCTAAAGGAGAAATTTGGGCAGTCTAATGCTTCTCTAATGTTTGAACTCAAGAAGTTTCTCAATTCTCTTAAATAAGGTAATGATTCTCTCTCAACCTATGTAATTAAATTATAAGAGCTCTGAAAGGAATGGTTAAAAGTTGATCCCCACATCGAATGCACATGTGGAAGTAGATGCAACGGTGACCAACATACAAAACTACTGGCCAAAATGGATATAGATATGGTAATCCAATTTCTTACTAGTGTTAATGATACATATAATGCAACAAGAGGCCAAATTCTACTCATGGATCCTCTACCAAAAATGAGAAAAGTTTACTCATTGTTGATACAATTTGAAAATTAGCGTATAATCCATATCTAATTGGAGTAGAGTGCTATGACATCTGTGAAGGATATCCTCTATAAGTGCTTTGACAAAAAAGAAATCAAGTTGACAAGCAAAAATGGATATGTGAATATTGCAAAAAGAAAGGGCATAATAAAGAAACATGTTTTCAATTCAATGGTGTTACAGATTGGTACAAAGAGATTATTGTCAACAAAAAGAAAGTTATTGTTGCCACTGCTATTGCCGATAAGAAAGGGACACTAAATCAACTCACTCCGAATTAATTGGATTGATCAATTCTATGAAAATAGAAATGCAAAAGCTGATGAACTCTAATTCAACCAACACAATCCACTATAAACATAATGCACCAATTCTATTTTGAATTACTCAGGAATGACCTCTATTATTTGTTCAGTGCATTTGGATAATGATTCTTGGCTTGTAGATACCGGAGCTATATGTCACATATGCGCAAACCTATCCCTATTTACTCCTCTAAATCACTTGAAACATAAACCCAAAATAATGCTACCTGATGGAACATACATTACAGCTACATAATCAGGCTCTGGTGTGTTGCATCCACAAATTACCCTGCATAATGTCTACTTTGTTCTTGCTTTCAAATTCAACCTACTATCTATAAGTGCTCTAATGACACATCTCACAACATGATCTTCACTTCCACCCATTGTGCTATACCGGACTAGAGCTCTAAGAAAATTTTGGTTGCTAGAAAGCTAGAAGGAAGCCTCTACATCTTTCACTCTCCCTCTCACAACATTGATTCATCAGTTTCTCCTACCTCTAATCACTCTTGGTTGCGGCCTTGTAGGTTGGGTAATACCTCTTTTAATACTTTTAAAATCTGAATTTGTGTTGGTCCTTTCCTTGACAAGCTTGTGACACTTGTCACAAGGCCAAACAAGTTCGTCCTTTTCATAAAAGTCCTATTACCAGTTATCCATTTGAGTTGATACACATGGACACATGAGGTTCTTACAAAATTCCTACCTTAAATGGTTGTCATTATTTTTTAAAAATTGTAGATGATTTCTCCAGAAGTACTTGGACTTACCTCTTGCAAAATAAACAAGAACTTCACCATTATATTGAAACCTTCATGCTATTGATAAAAAAACCAATACAACACTACTATCAAATGCATCCGCATAGACAATGGCTCTGAATTCACAATAAAAAATGCCAAGCCCTACATAGAGCTCATGGCATTATTCATCATCATTCATGCCCTCACACACCTCAAAAAATGGTAGAGCCGAAATAAAATACAATCATTTTCTTCAATTGACTAGAGCAATTCTTTTTGAAGCTTGTCTTCCTATATAGTTTTGGGGAGAAGTTGTCCTACATGTCCCCTATTTAATCAATAGAATCCTATCTTCCATCTTAAATTGGTCCACTCCATTCCAGAAGCTCCACTATAAAGAACCAGATTACTCAAATTTGAAAGTGTTTGGTTGTTTATGCTACATATATCTCTACTCTTAAAGTTAAACTTGACCCTAGGGCTGTTAGATGCATCTTTATTGGCTTTCCAACTGGCCAAAAAGGCTTTAAGTTTTTCGATCTTGATCACAAAAAAACATTATAGCTAGGGATGTTGTTTTTCATGAATATGTATTCTCTTTTGCATCTTTCTCTGCTGGTGATTCTTCTTCTGTCCCACCTTTGTCTCACTCTCCGCCCACGCCTCAAATTGAGCTTGATGACCAACCCCTTGATTCCTATTTACCTCTAATTACCGATCTCTTTCCAACCACATAGACTGATCTACCAAATCAAACCTTTATTTCCACCTGATCATCAATCTCGATCTTCTTCACCCCAATCTTCATCTTCCTGTGTTCCTCCATCTCCCAGGCCTGATCAGTCAATATGTGATGATGCAACAACCTCAAATACCTCTCATCAGCCTTCTCCACACACTTCTCACTACCCTACATGAGTCCATAAACCTTCAGCCTGGCTTCAATACTATATTACTACTTGTCCCACTCACCTAAGCATGCTTGGCACGTAGTCTCTAATGTCAACTTGCATGAACCAAAATCCTTTGCAGAGGCTCAACAAGATTCAGCTTGGAGGTCAACAATGGAGGAAGAATTGACTGCTCTTGAACTAAACAAGACTTGGGAAATCACTTCTTTACCCGAAAGGGTGAAATCCATCTCTTGCAGATGTATTCTCAGAATAAAACGCAATGCTGATGGGAGCTATCACCACTGTAAGGCTCGATTGGTTGCTCACGTATACTTAAAGATTAAAACGAATCATTTGCTCTGGTTGCCAAACCAGTCACAGTAAGACAAGTCCTTGCATTGCTGGACCATTTATCAATTAGACATTCACAATGCTTTCTTACATGGATATCTTGATGAAGATATCTACATGACACCTCACAAGGCAGAAAGATTCCTCTGGACATATATGCAAACTGTTGAAATCACTTTATGATTTCAAACAAGTTCCTCGTCAGTGACAAGGAATTCAAGTCCAAGCTTCTTCTAATTGGCTATGTTCAATCGTACTATCATAATTGTCTGTTTATCTTCTCTTGTAATGGCTCCTTTACTATTCTTGTTGTCTATGTCGATGATATTCTTGTTACAGAAAATTATTCTCAAGCCATCATCGGTATCAAAGATTTTTATTATTATTATTATTATCAATACCTAATATACTACTTAAAATTTTTATATATTATACTAATATTTTACATGTGATAAATAATTTTAAATATAAATTATTATATATTTTATAAATTGTTATATATTTATATTATTATAAATATTTTAATAATATTCTTTACCTCTATTTTAAAAATATATATTTATTATTTGCAAAAAATTTAAAAAATAATAATATTTTGAATATAATAGATAATTAAAAGTAATGTAAATATAAAATTTAAAATAATAATAATTAATTTATAATTAAACAATTCAAGATAAAAATATATATACTTTTGCAAAGTAGATAGAGAAAGTATGTATTTTTTATTTATATAAATATAATTAATTTATATGTAATATATAATATTAATTATTTTATAATAGAAATGTTATTAATTAAAAATAAATAAACAAAATATTATTGTAATTATATATTATTATTGTTAATAAAATTTATATAAATTGAAAAATAAAAAAATATATAGAAAGATAGAGAAAGTCTACAACCATTCTCTGCATGGAAAAGAACGGTTCCAATATTTTTAATATTTTTTTTTCTATTTATTATTGAGGTGGACATAGGCATGAATAGTTCTTATTTTGTTAAGAACATGCATTTCACCTGCTCTGAGGGAGTGCACA